GTGAAATTTGAAAAGTTGAACGAGAAGATAAATAGAGAAGTAAACGTTTACTACAAATGCATGTATTTATTGTATTTGAAAAATGATAAAAATAAATATTGTCGCAATCGTTAAAGTGTTTTTTCTTAAAAGTTGACCCACTCAAAGTAATGATATCATCACATTACAGATACTTGTTAGACGTAATTATTATATGTTGGAACATATGCAATTTTATGTTGTAAGATATAACACATAAGTCGCATCTGTTACCAAAGATGCATTTTTCTAACATATAATTGGCATATCATGCCAAAGATACACTATTCTGCATAGATTGTTATAATTAGCAACATGATTATATATAAATAACATCACATAATTATAAATAAGATTATATAATAGGGATCATCCTCAAATAAGAAAGAATATTTATTAAAATTCAACAACACAATACTTGACACTTCTTATGGGGCATTTCGATTTGGGCATGTAGTTTTTTTGTGGCCAAAGTCCCTACGTGCGGAAAACATATTTTTTCTTATTGGAAATGATTCACCAACTCCACGTCGTCTCTTATATGTCCTTCTTCCGGGTTTACTTGGATCAACATATTGAGGAGGTATTTCTCTATGTATGATATCCAAAGGGGCAATCCAAGAATCTTCACGTGGCACCAAGTGAATTTCCTGACAATATGTCCTTATGTATTTTTCCACCGAATAATATGGAGAGGAGTACACGTAAATCTGATTTCCAAAGTCGGCCCCGTGTTGGGATTGAAGCGCTGTCATGGCATGTGGACAAGGTATTTTGTCGAAGTTGAAAATTCTACAAGTACAAGTTCTTCTTTTTAGATCCACAGTAGCAACATATCCATGACCAGTGACACTGAACTTGTAGTTAGCGATAAGAATGGCCAACAACTTATTGCCCGCGTTGACATACTCTAATATGTCTTTTTCAATTGTAGGAACAATTCTATTTGCATAGTGCACCAGTTCCATACGTCTCTGGTGAAATAACAATTCAATTCTCATGTTTATCATCAAATAGAGCGACAATGGGAAATTCTCTTTCAACATCCAACATAACATTCACCGATTCTGTGATGTTTGACTTCATAATGTTATATCTACACAACAAAACATAAAAATCAAACAAAACACATAAAGAAAAAATAAACTCAAATGAGATGGTGCCTATTTTCCATGCAAAATGTCCTACTCCATGTGTGGAATCTAATACGTTCAAGAGCTTCAGACGCCTTTGGTACCAAATCTCTTATTTGATTGAAATGGTAATTGAACTCACATATATCGTACACCTTTGTAGTTTTACTAAAATACGACACTACCTTCGTATTGTGAAAGTTACTTCGAATATTTTTCCCAAAGTGTCTCATGCAATAACCATAATGAGATGCAGGGTAGATTCTCGAAACCATCTTTCGCATACTTGGATGTCTATCAGAGATAATGCACAATTCATCAGTTTCATCTACAAAGCTTCTCATATTTTGAAAAAAAAACATTCATATGAGGCATCGCATTCCTTGTCCATGACACAAAAAGACACTGGAAAAATATGATTCTCGGCATCCTGTGACATCGCCGATAGCAGAACTCCTTCATACTTGCTCCTTAGAAATGTGCCATTAACGGCTATTACTTTTCTCATTTCTTAAAAACCAATTATCCAAGTAGCGTAATGAAACCTCCCATTTTCATCGAGCGAAAATGGCTTCTTGTTTCCTTGATTCGCAATTTCGAGCATATACCGATACGCATTATGCACTGCGTACCCGTGCTCATGTGTTCCCCTAGCATTAGAATTAGCATGCTCCATTCCCTTATAAATCATCAAATAGCTACTTTACAATCCAATTCTGTGTGAAGTTGATTTGACATGTCTCTTGTGCATGGGACTTTACCATTGGGAAACCTATTTTAAAAGTACTTACCCATGACTTTTGTCGTGGCGTGGAAATTATGGCTTGTAAGATGCTATAAACCACACGATGTTACTTTTCATAGCTTCTAATGACAAACCTGTCACTACTTGTAAATTTCACATCCCTCAACCACCAATTGCAATCCGGATATGAACATTTAAAGGAAAATATATCACGAGAATTGATCACCATTTTCAGTCTTAAATCATTTTCAAAGCAACCGATTTTCAATGAATTTGCCATATCTTGCTTATTCTTAAATGTCATTCCCTCATAAAATCCTATTTCATCTTCTCTAACATTATTCACACATGAAGTTTGAGAAGAATATGGATAGTTGTTGCCAACTATAGGTGTGCGAGTAAACTTGTTTTCGAGTTCCGGCCCTTCAGCTTGAGCTTCACCTCCACCTTCACCTTCACCTCCACCTCCACCTTCACCTATTCCAATTTAATCATCGGTATTATTCATGTCCGAAGAATCAAATTCATCATTAAACATATCTTGTTGGCCTTAGTCTACCTTATGATCCTTTTCGATAGGAGTTTTTTTCACGTAGACTCTTAATATTGGCGATTTCTCTGTTCCTCCCAAATAAACACTCAAACTACATTGATTAGTTATTCTAAAAGGTAAAACCTTATAATTATTTAAAAAATGGGGAATGTAACTCATGACAAGATCTTAGGGTTTACAATTGTATTCAGACTTTTTGCACGACTAAATTGGAGAACTCATCATATAAAATATTTCTTTTGACATACATTCCTACTAAACCGTCTCCTCATTTTTTACTATCCTCCCAATTCCATATCCCTACAAAGAATGACAATGTACCTGAAGAAAATAATTTAAAAAACGATTAGTAATTATGAAGAATAATTATATGTAGCAACATATGACTATTCTATGGTGAGATGTAAGTCATATGTTTCTACATATGACTGCTCTGTTGTGAAAAATAAATCACATGTGGCAATATTTTTTAGTTATATCATATGTAGCAAGATATTACTATTCTGTGGCGACATGTAAGTCATATGTTGCTACATTTTACTATTCTGTTGTGAAAAATAAATCACATGTAGCAACATCTTTTAGTTATATCATATGTACCAACATATGACTTTTCTGTGGTGAGATGTAAGTCATATGTTGCTACATGTGACTATTCTGTTGTGAAAAATAAATCACATGTGGCAACATTTTTAGTTATATCATATGTAGCAACATATGACTATTCTGTTGTGAAAAATAAATCACATGTGACAACATTTTTAGTTATATCATATGTAGAAACATATGACTATTCTATGGCAAGATGTAAGTCATATGTTGCTACATATGATTGTTCTGTTGTGAAAAATAAATCAAATGAGGCACCATTTTTTATTTATATCATATGTAGCAATATATGACTATTCTGTGGAAAGATGTAAGTCATATGTTGCTACATTTGACTGTTCTGTTGTAAAACAAAACTCACATGTGGCAACATTATTTAGTTATATCATATGTAGCAACATATGACTATTCTGTGGCGAGATGTCAGTCAGATGTTGCTACATTTGACTTTTCTGTTGCTATTGAAATAACAATTATGTGGCTACATATAACTAATATGTTATAATAGTCAACTGTTACAACATATATAACAATATGTTGGAAATGCGAATGCAAAATACTGAACAAATTGCAGGTACCGAGATAAGATGAGAATGAATTGATTTTAAATAACTATTAATTTTACTTACCAGAAACAATGGTGTATAACCCAATCGCTTATGAAGTTATTCCAATTGAAACAAAACGAAATTTTGTCCACCAGTTACATATTAGGTAAAAATCTGATTCAAGAAGAAGCAAGCACAAGCACTACCAGCGAAGACCCGCAATGTACGAAAATAACAAGAAGAAGAAGAGGAAGTTTAAGAGAGTGGGAAGAAAGGCAAGCAAGCAAGCAAAGGCGGGAGCAGAAGATGAAGAAAAGGACGAATACGATGGCTGGAGGCGGGGGAAAAACCTTTTATTTCTTCTTTTAGCTCGTTATTTCCCACCAAAATTAGATAAATTAGGTTTAGTTTAGTCAATTTAACATTTTACCCCTCATTTAATTCCCAACAAAAGTTGGTTAAATTAGGTATTACGAAATAACCATTTTATCCTTCATTTAGTTCAGTGGACCAAACTGTCAATTGATAAAGTTGAGGGAAACTCCAAAATCGTTAATCATTAGTCACATAATTGTCACCTACACCCAATACTTAAGACTTATGTCACCACCCATTTATTTTGAAACCTTAATATCACTTTTTTTTAAAAATCCCAAGTTGGTTTGGATCAAAGGAGGAAAAAAATAAAGTATGATTTTTCAGATTGTTTATCCGTTCTCTGTACTTTCCTTTTCTTTTTTTTTAGTTATCATATTTTTTTTTCACCAGGAAGGGTCATTTTTGACACAACTGTACATATTCTATTATTTTTAGTTAATAAATGGGCCTTTGAGCCTCGTTAATTTTTTTCAAAAAATTATATCTCTATCTCAAAACACAAAAAGAAGGATTAATCTCTTGCTGGAAAAAATATACTTCCTCCGTTTCAAAAAGGATAACTTAGTTTGACTTGGAACGGAGTTTAAGAAAAGAAAGAAATTTTTTAATCTTATGGTTCTAAATTAAAGTTATGTCAAATGTATCAAAATATCCTTTAATCTTGTGTTGTTCGATATTTCACGTAGAAAGTTAAAGTTAAAATATTGCCAAAAAAGAAAAGGGGTTATTTTCTTTAGAACAGACTAAAAAGGAAAAAGTATCATTTTTTTTAAATGGAGGGAGTATATGTATAGACACTTGCGGAATTAATGATATGAGATTTATAGATTCTAACTATACTTGGTGTAATAATCGGAGACATTGTAAAAGATCTGGATAAGGTTAGATATAGTTTTTGTCAATGACAATTGAGCCTAGAAGTACTCTATCAACACTGTAAGACACCTATCTTGAACAGATTCTGATCAGAGACCTAAGTAGCAAGAAGAATAGGGGGCTCGATTAATGTAAGTACTAAAATGTTTAACATCTCATTATATTGTTTTAAACCTGCAGAGAACCCTTTTATTTATGTTTTACCTTAATTTATGTAACGACCTAAACCGTCGATATTTAGAAGAAACGAAAATATAGGAAAAATCGGGGCCATTGTCCCGCCATAGCAGGTCAGATGCTGCTAGGGCTGCAACGCCAGGGCGGGATAAGTTGGTGCTAGGGTGGGATAGGCGCGAAAGAACATATATTACGAGAAATCCTATTTTCTCCATCTTCCTAAAATACCTAAAAGTTGTTAAACACCGTAGAAATCTCAGAAAAGCTGCTCGAAGTTTTGAAAGGTAGGAGAAGGAGATTTCAAGTGTGAGGATGGTGAAATCTTACAGATTCTTGGCAAATTTCACCCTCACAAAGCTAGGGAAAACGGAATCGATGTCAAAAACTCTGTGCAACTGATTCGTGCCCATTCTACAACATACTCTCATGTTAATTATGAAGATTCTAGGTCAGTTATGATTTTTTTTTGGCTTTTGTTGCTGAGTATAAGTGTTAAATGGTCGGAAATATATGATTGAACGGGAATATATTTATAGTGATTATATACTCTTTTTATATTTTTCAGTAGTGCAAAATAATTATTTTTTAGACTTTGAACTTCCAATATATTAGTAGTGTTTTCATTGTTATTGAATATCCACAACCACGTTCTCAAGCTTTTTTTTGCGTTATACTTTTATTTATTTTAGAAATTCCTTACAAAATTTATATTTGCATGATTTTTTTAATGTGGGGTGACTATTATCATAAGAGAAACAAATCTTAAGAGATGTCTAGTGATGGTCATTCAAAAATGGAGCTAAATGGTCATTTCTTTGGATACCAATCACTGCAGCTTTAAAAAAAGATAAACGATGTTGATTTCATATATTTAAAAAACATAGACAAGGTGAGTGAGAGAAGGAGATATGAGCCATGAACAATGAAATTACTGCATTATCATTGTTCCATGAATGATATGCACTTGAGGATCACGCGGCGCTGAACATCTCTGTTCAATATGTATTCATAATTACTCTAGACAGGACATCACTTAATATACTTAAATAATAATTTTACTAGATATCTATGGAAACATTAAAAAAACTCATTTGTTCTTCGGTTACATGCTTGCAAATGGGAAAATATAGACTAGGGATTAAGATATTGAGGGCAATTCTGAATTAGTTATGTTTACTAAGAGCCACATAATAAGTATCTTTTTGTGTTCATTATTGCAGTATTGACACATTATAGGAGTCAATCCAGAGAGCTATATACCTTTGAAGAAAATTTTGGAAACTACATATAAGGTGTAGAATCTCTTATTAGTGTAAGATATTTTGAGAAAAAACCTTACGATCATGGCAGAGAATATCCCACTCATTACAAGCTTTATGCAAATCTGAACTTTATTATAGTGGACTTTTGTTTTTGGGGTTCATAGTAACTCCGGTGAACATGAAACATCAGCTTTCACTCTTAGGCTTCATTTTACTTTAAATTAAAATTTGTTCACTAACTTCTAAATTTTTTAGAAGTGTTGTTTCAACGGGTTGATAATGTTTTTCAAATATGTCGATTCTCTATGTTTAAATTATTCAATATATATTGTTGTCATTCATTTTTCAGATGTTAAAGGAATATTTAGAGTCAACTCGCAGTAATATTTACCCTTATATATAAGTGAGCAAGAGAAGGACTAGTACTACAATCAATAACTATAGAAAAATCAGAGAGATGCCATACACCAACTTTGCCAACCGGGAAGAGCTTTATCTAGCTTGTTCATTTAGGACTATCACTGTGGATATGGTATTTGTACTTCAATACTCCACTGTCTCTCAGGTTACTTCTGCTCCTTCATGGTAGTATTGAAAACATAGATAATACACCAACCCCATTTACAATTCTATTTCTGAATCTAATACTGTTCATCATCTAAAACATTCAAAAAATCAACACTAACTTATTGATCAATAGTAAATTTGTAGCTTCTGATTTTCTTTCTTAATCTATTTTTGTGTAAAAAGTAATTATTTTTTCTTTTTGGAAGACTGTATTATGGTCATATTTCTATGTCATTTTTGAGTTGTCCAAGTACCTTCTAAATTACTCAATCTATCATCTCCACTAATCTCTCTTTGTTATAAAATTCTCTATGTGCACATATTAACCAATAATAACATATAACAGAAACTGGTATAATCGAAATTCTTTTAAAAACTGATTTGAATTGTAGTCTTCAAGTGATGTTACATTACATGCGTACATTTTGATATTTTCTTTGGAAGAAATCAGGGTTGTCGCTGTTTTTGTTTTACCAGCAACAAATATGCTATTTATTTTCTGAGCTCTTTAATATTTAACATATTCTGTATTTAACCTCTTCATAAAGTTTCAATAAGTGATACTACGATAGGTTTCTTGATTTTCTTTTTGGGTGATCCTTATATAATGCTGAAAATGTCGAGGCGGGTATATCAATCTGGAGACAATAATGCGTTCATATTTCTTCCTGGTGAATCTTATATCTGTTAAATTTTTTATTACTCTGCCTCTAAGAACCAAATGGGGCATTGCATCAAAAATCAGCATTAGCGGCAATTAATAAGCACTTGCCACTAATTATGCATTTTTAGCAGCAAATAACAGTTTTTGTATATGTCTCTAAATATAATTAATTTCCTCTAAATAAGTATTTTTAGCGGAAAATATCACTCTGTGTATATGTCCTAAAGTCTTTAGGGACATTGGATAGAATGAAACTTAACTAATCCGGTAAAGACTTTAGCACTTGTTATTAATGTGTCTATTTATTTTAGCTAAATGTTGTTTTTGTTGGGGGACATTCCATTAAAAGAATCCATTTTCCAAATAATTATGATGTTATTCTTTTTTTCCTTTGTTTTGTTAAGGCAGCGTATATTAGTATGATGGTTGACTCTTTGAAAAACTTATCTGATTATATCTTTTGGGATTCGAGTTTCATTATCTTCATTCTTAATTTCGTATCTCTAGTAAACATGGGAGAGATGGATCAAGGTAGAAGGATCAAGAGAACTAATTATGACGAGGCTGGACTCAAAGGGGTAAGTAGACTGTAGAATTAGTTTGTTATGCTACATTTTCTAATTATCATACAGTGTAGTTAAATGGTACAAGAAAAATTATTTACCAGGTTTGACTTGATCTAGCTAAGAATTTTAATATATATAAAGAGACTATGTAGTAAAATTTGCATGCAGGCACAAGAAACTATTACTTTGTTTGTACAACCATTGCATAGAATTTTTGGAAGTCTGTATTTTCCCTTCCCTAAATTTTCACATGATGGAATACATATATGCACAGCGGAAACATATAATGATCTTAATACATACATGAATAATAGATAACCAATATCATTTATGCTAAAACAAATATCATGCTAGAACACATAAACATAATGAAAATAAATTCAAGACTTACCTCTTGAAGCGTGAGCGGATACCTTCAATCGAATCCCCAAGATAGACAGACTTTCAAGCGAATCTACAAGATAGTTATGGTCTTCTACAGTGATCCCAAGTCACATCCGAACTCTCTCAACACTTGGGTGGGCAAGTATTGAATAGAAAATTAATTATGTTTTTTCTAGGTTAAGAGAATTCCTATTTATAGCGTAATCCAAAAAGGACTAGAAAACCTTGTTTTTCTAGAAGACTAGAAAACCTCATATTATTCTTTCTTTCTGCATAGATTTAGGATTTTGTGTTCTAGTTAAATATAGACTCTCTAGGGACCACATGATTAATTACCGAGGCTTCCTATTACGGAAATAATACCAAATAATTAATTTGAATAACTTTTAACATAATAAATTACAAATCATTCCACTAGAAATTCATAATTGCACTCCTCTATTTTGTAATTCCCCATTAAACACTTATTTATTTCCTCATATTAAGATTTCACATACTAATCAATAAATTAAATTACTAACGAATTTAACTTAATGATTAATTTCCTTGAGAGCACTACTTATCTTATTTCATGTGTCAGATTCATAATCCACTTGCAAGATTTGACACAATGAAAACTTATAAGTTTCTCAAAAAGCCATATCAATCAATATGTATAACGAGACATGGATTCCATCAACTAACTTATTATTTCACCAATATATATTATTATCATCCAACTTACCAGGCATATTGACCTATCTCAGAATCTCACCTTTTAATAAATCAAAACGACAATTAATATATACAAATCATAATAGTTATATCTGGATTAAAAATATAAGTGCATTTAATAGTGTAGAGAATATGTTTTTGTTAGTCAGTCTAAAATAACTATCACTACTCTGTCTCGTTCGATACATACAAAAAGTTCTAGCACGAGAAGTTGGAACTATGCCGTTCCCATAATCAAGATAAATTACATATAATCTTGTGCTACAATCGTACCCGATGGCATGTCCAATTTCCATCCAAGATTGTGACCCAAAAACTTTATACTTATAAGAACTTATGATTTAATCCTCTGTGTATAAGCTAAAACTCTAAACACTAAATCATCTACTATCTAGTAAATAGACGCCATAAATGAATATATGATCTATTGAATTTAAGAAAATATTAATTCTCTAATAAATATTATTTCTTAACATATGGTTAGTATTATACATCCCAATAGTCTCCCACTTAGACTTTTAACCATAACAATTCTTATAATGTACTATATCTAAATGTGTTGTTAATAGTATATACTTAACAATCTCCAACTTAGATATTTAATCTTAAAAATTGTTAGATGTCTAAAAACATGATTAATAGTATATACCCTAACAATCTCCCACTTAGACTCTTAACTATACATTTTATAACTTTCACAGACATTCCTTTATTTCTTATCGAAAGAAAATTTACCAAGCTATTTTCTCATGTAATTTTATGTAGTAGTGCTTCGTCGTAATAAATCGATTTTGTACTAGATCATGAGAGACCTTATCATGAAACCCTCCAAGAGTGTACTTATTTTCAAGATCTATATCATAAAAGTTTTCTCAAGAACATAAAACAACTCAATTTTTGTTATGATTCTCCCACTACGACTAAGTACTACTATTATAATCACACATTCATGTTCTTCAGTTTAAATATTTTCTTCAAAATCTTTCTATAATGAAATATTATCAACTTTTCATGAATATTAGACTTATGTGTCTATACATACAAGCCATGGGCTTCATTCATAGTTCGTTAAGTGATTCTTACTTTCCTAAGATTATGTAGTACAAGACTTATGTATCTTGTGTATATGTCAAGATCTTGATTTTTGATACAAGTAGATGGCATTACTAATGGATATTTTACTCACGTATGACTTATATATAAATACGGAAGTTTGGGCAAGGGAACCCAAATCTTGAATAACTTGGATATCATTTATATTTTTCATTGATTTTATTTCTAATATTTATAACATTAGAACTCTAAATAATCTCAACATTAACATTAAACTATAGATTTTCTGTTTAATTTTACTCTTAATTTAGCCGAAGGGTTGTGAGTTTTAACCCCACAGCCTCTTTTTATTTTTCATTAAGAATACATTGCTCATTTTCGCCCAAACCAAGAGGTTGTGGGTTCAAACCCCCACAGCCTCTTTGATTTTTCTTTTAATTTCGCTGTAGAGGCTGTAAGATGGTGGGTTTGAACCCCCACAACCTCTCTATCTTTATTTTATTTAAATTGGATGAGTGGCAGTGAGGTTATGAGATCGAACCCCCATAGCCTCACTTTATTTCATAATTAATTTCGCGTCTTCCTTCAGCCTTTAGGTCGTGGGTTTAATCCCACACCTCGCGTTTTCTTTTTCCTTATTTTCTTTTCTTTCGCACGTACCTAGAGGTCGTGGGTTGGAATCCCACGCCTCTCATTAATTTGTTTAATAAATTTTCTCCTCCTTCTACCCACAGATCGCGAGTTTGATTCCCCCAATCCCATTGTTTTAGGCGAAAGTAACTAGGATCGAATCCCACATCCCCCATTTTTTTTACCTCGCGAAACCAGTAGCTAAGGGGTTTCATTCCCCTTAGCTCCTTCACGTTCTTCTTTCCTTTTCAGTCATCTCAACATGTGAGGTCTTGGGTTCAATTCCCATTGACCTCATTCATTTAATTTTTCCTTTTAAAACCCATATTTAAACGTTATTATAGAGTATCCAAATCTGGAAAATTCTTGTCATTATTGAACTCATTTTAAGTCACATTGTTCATAACTTTAGTTGGCTAAAATATGGTTATTTCAATCCACTATATTTAATGGTAATGAACATCACATTATACACACATTGCACATATAAAATAAAAGAAATACATGATTTATATAACCCCAAAACAGTGGCCAAAGCCACTGCCCACGTGCACACACGCACACCCACTTTTCGATCACACTTTGAATATCATTTTCGTAATTTCCCTCAAATAAACATGTTCACATTTAATATATATACATCATTCATGCCTAAATCTAGAATCACAACATACCCATCATACGAATTTGTTTGGGAGCTAAGGACAAGGACATACAAAGGGGAATAACCTTAGTTTTCAAGACCTTGAGAATCGTTCAAAGGAAAATACTCTTGGAGAGAGAATTCCAGGAGAGAAACCCATAACTTTTGATGTTGTTCAAGTGTGAATCTTCTTCCTAGAAACTCGTCCAAACCACACCTAATTCTCCTCAACGTACACACCACTCGACGAACAACTTCCATTTGCCTTGACGTTTTTGATTATCTTGCTTTTTAAAAAAATTTCGTATGTTTTTCAAGTGTGAATAACAATTGTTACTAAATTGTTCTTGAGCTTTCTTGTTAGTCAGAGCGTGAGAGAATGAGAGTTGAGAGACGTGAAAGAAAGTTGAGAAACATGAGGGAGAGAGTTATTAGGATTAGGAGACTAAATTCAAGACTTAGTCAAAATAGGATTTAATTAAATTAATACCAAAATATGATTTATTTTAATTAATACGTGAAAGGAACATTTTACCCTTAATGAATAGATTTTAATTAATGATTAAATCATCAATTTCTTTCTTCTAGTGGGGCTCAAACCCGAGTGGCACCCTATTTGCGAAATGAGTCACTTTGGGTCACCCCAATCCGAATTGCTCTTTTAATTAAATTAGTTAATTAATTTATTAATTCCTCAAGGTAATTACAATATTACCCTTGGCTTGGAAAAGACCATTTTACTCCTGGACCCTCAAAACATAAAATTTCCTCTTTTAAGTCCGATAAAGACTTCTTCAATTAAATCTTCATTTTCGCGGGACTTACTTGGATGGTTCCAACATTTCCAGGCTCAAATAACCTCCCAAGTTAGTTGACTTGGTCATAGTAAGAGTTCTGAGGTCTTGTTATACGCCTATCAATCTGTGTGAACCTTGATTTAATCGCAAGCATTCTGGACACCCTAAGTCTTGATCTTGTTCACTTTTAGGGTTGTTACATATTTAGATTTATACAAAAAAAATATAAAAATATATTCATATTACGAGTAATTTTCTTAAAACTCAAATTCACCTCTTGCCCATGTGCTCATTTATTACACAAATTAGAATAGATTAATTATAACTTATCACTACCTCTTAAATCCTTTTTAAGAAGAAAACTAAGGTCTCTTAGTAATTTTTCCTTCTAAACAAAACGTACATGTTGGTAGTGACTTCACTTTCAATGAACATTTATGTCCATCCATTAACCAACCTCATAATTCTATTCAGAATAAATGAGTTAGACCCTAATGTACAGATAAGTCTCATTCAATCTAAAAGATATTTTCCCTTGTGAGACAGATTAGTATAATTTAATTCTCTCATACTTATAAAATAATCACACATCAATATACTACAAGAAATAAAATATTTATAAAACTCAATGATAGAAAAGTTACAAATAAATATATAATATACTTATCTTTTATCTGGTTAGAAATTGAAAATAATTTCTTCGAACATAAGTTACATATACAATGCATTCATTAAGTTAATATCTTACCTCTACCAAAAGAAAATCTTAAGTAGTACTAAGTGGGTGTGTAATGTCTATTGAGAATATGACACAGAATACTTTAAATAGATAATAATATTTCGAATAATCCCGGATAACGAAATTCAGGGCTCATTAATACATATATATCCTGGCATCTCGAATAGACAATCGTTGGGATTGGAGAACTACTCTTGCAATACACATGTACAATGACCGAGTATTCACTCTATAAACT